TTCAGATGCTCTCAATGTACTTGACTGAGTACGCAAGCAGACCAGCTGAACCACCTGAGGCTCCTCTTGCACATTCTCTTGGAAACAATATCTCTTAGCTCATAGTATGTCAAATATCCATACTAGGAATTAAAAAGGGGTGTGCTTTTCAGAGACCTTAATATATTGACACCTTTAGTGGCCATTAACTGACAAGGCTATTCCTTAAATTATTTATGCATATGATTGCAACTTAAGGGGTCATCCACCCAAATAATCTATGTATACTATTGCCAATATTTATAAATACATATCAGAATATAGTTCCAATACAATTAACCAGCTACACCTTCTAATATAACCCAACAAACAAGTCAGAAAAATGAAAAGCCTATTTTAAGTTTTAATTTGGAGCCGTATGAATGACTGACCTTCAATAAAAGGTTGTTTTCAGAGTGTGACGATACACAATTCAACACTTTGCACCTGCAGAGAACCAATTAAGCTTCAAATTTCATGTTTTCCCAACTTCTTCAATATCACAGTTTTTAGCTTTTAGCTTTTGTTTCAAATGATAACCCTTTGCCAAGAAAGTCATACTGGTTAAGTATATATACACACTGTGAAGAGAGAGAAAAAAAAAGAAGCGACTAGAACGAAAAATTTGTGGAGGCCTGAAAATGTGTCTCCTCTGCCGTATATTTACCAGAAAAATGCTTCCAAAATGGGAAAGGATGGTATTTTAGACTTGGCCAGTTCTGGATTCAGGAGAAATAAAAGCTGGTTTACAGCCAGCTCTGGCTTTCTTGAGCTCCTAGGATGCTCACCAAGCCTGTGTATGCATGTATGTTTAAGATAAATAGATCCTTGCTTGTTGTAATATGAATTATTCTGGTAAATTATTTGCATAACATTTAAAATGGATTATGAAAATAGCTATATTTAGTCTGCAGCTCTAAATGTTACATACTTTCTTCACCATAGTAACATAAATGTCTTTCAAGGGAAGAATGGAGAGGAGGGAGCTCTTGCTCTGGAATTCTTGTACTGGAGAGACTGAGAAAGAGGGAGAAAGCACTCACTTCACAAGCTTATGAACTTGAGATAGTAATTATGAAAAAAATATATAATTGCATTTATTCTGCTTACTGCTTTGCTACATTACTTGTAATATAGCATTACAAGTTTCTAGAAGCCTGCACAGAAAGTTTGAACATTCAGTGAAAACAATACCTCTTTTTTTAATACCTAAATTATGTAGGTGAATTATGGAGCCACATTCCATGGTATCCCAACAGCAAAAGTTAAGGAAGGTTTCTTTTTCAGTGTTTTACCCTTGATAGAAAGCAATTTAGTTATGCTAAAAATGGAAGTGGGAAAGAAAATAAACCAGATCTTCAGTACATCATGGCTACTTTGTGATGGGTGGGTAGCTTGCAGAATATTTGGTGCAAGTCCAGAAGGATTCTGTTCATTGGAGTGAAGGTATAATAATGAAGAAGAGGTCCTTCACAACTGATATTCTAAGCCAGAATAAAAGTTGCTGCTGGAACAAAAGGATGATAAAGTTATGGCCTTCTAGTGCTGTGATCAACTAGCATTATTTAAGTTTATTATTATCTCAGCTTTCACTGAGAGATTTTACATACAAGCAGAAAAGAGTCAGGAAGGGGAATCTGGCAACCTAGAGTCAAAGTTTACATTTATACTGTATCATTGGTGGCTAGGCCAGGGATTAAAGTAATGCTGAGTGCTTTGCCTGCAGTGGCTCTGCCTAGCCACATCATTAAGATATAAGCAGCTTGCCATTCAATGCATGATGTCCTTGTTCCACAAAAGCTACACTGGCCAACACCTTTTACCCTCCTAAGAGCAGAGGGCAACGCTGCCAGGCAGGGACAATGTCACCCACTCTTCTCAGAAGGACATATAAGGGATACATGAGGGGTGCTCAGACTGCAGGTAAGACTGAGTTCGTTAACTGTGCCTATTGTGCTTGCCTGAGCCTAAATCTGAGCACAGACTTATAGACCTATCACATGAACACTAACAGGGGTAAGGTGTTCAGTTCAACTGCAGACACCTTCAGTGCAGTCCTCTATGTGCTAGATGACTTTGAACTTGCCCTTGAAATGCAGTATTGATGTAGCCAGTATCTTTTTCATTTAATAGTACTACTAAAAAAAAAAAAAAAAGTTGTCTTATTCTCTCCCATGCCCCATTTATGTCAATCAGTGATTCTAGACTGGCTAAATACAGTAAAAAAAAAAATTCTTAGGAAAACACATGTCTACTAACTAGTACTTTGGAGGAATGCTGTGGAGCTGGCCATCCATGTTTGGCATTAGATCCACTGTCTCAATACAAAGCAGAATGACTCCATATGGCCTAAGAGGGGATTACAGTGTCTTATAGCATTGTATGCTATTATTATAGGTTATACTGTGAGTATACAAAGAACTGGATCATGACCACATTACACACCCACTCCCAATGATTCTTTATTTACCTGACGATTATCAGCAATTATCATCCGGGGTTCTTTCTAGTATAGCTGGAGATCTTTCATGACCTCCTTGTTTGTAAAGTCCACATCTCTAATAGACTGGTGACCTCAATATATCAAGTACTTTGACTGTATAGATTCCAATTATTTCAACATCTCTTCACTAACACACAGTACTAAATATGCTTTGCCAGGGACAGAGCTTTTACTTGGCTTATCACAAAAAGAAAACCGCAAAAGAAAATCACTGTGGAGTACGAGATGGTGAGCGTTCATTTAAAACTGTGCAATGCAATATGGGTTCATTTTGCAAGGTGATTTTGGCTGAAAGGATAACAGGACTAGGAAACAGCTTTAGGAGAAGAGAAAGAAACTCAATATTCTATCCTTTTTATCAAATTTTCTGCTAGCATTGCTATGGTAAAGAGGACAAATACCTTATTATTATATGCAAGTCCTTTGAAAACAGGCCTACAAATACTTTCATTTTTCCTTTTAATTTCACTGCATCAAAAGCAAATTCAAACTTGAAAATACCAGGCAACAGGACAGCCTGCATAGGTGTTTATACTGCTGTAGAGCTGTCCTAATTAAAAATAAAAACCCAAATAAAATAAACGCACCTCATAACGATGGTCTAGAACAGCACTACTGTAAGGCACAGGTTTAGATATCCTGCCCCATTCTCCCCCTTACATATAGCTGCAGATGGGTCAGAAGCTTGCTAGACTTCCATATCTGAGAATTTTCCCTTCGCGGGGAAATATGTCAGTGGTGTAAAGCCTGCCCCACTAGCCCTATGCTCCTTCCTTCAAAGACTCTAGAGGTTTTAAACAAACTTTTCTTAGAAAAGTAGAAGCCCACTGACCAAGAGTACCTTCTGCAGAAGACTCAGGCTATTCCGATCTATGTTACAAACAGTAGGCTTGTGGTCTGAGAATCTAAGTGTAGTTTCATGCCCTTCTCGGGGCACAAAACTGGTGTAAGGAGTTGAAACTGGTATACGATGCTTCCTGAACAGCTGGTTCTCCCTCCTTTGCACAAGTCTGTCTTGATAGTTAGCTGATTACTACAGGGGCAGTACATTAGCAAGCTAAGTCTGAAAATCCTTGCTTTATGATTTTGTGTTATAGCCACACATGATACTGAGTCTCCAGAGAATAAAATCGTCGTAGCTTAGATATCTCCTAATGTATTAAATGTTGTGAAGTCTTTGTCTTTTGCAAACACACTTAGCATTAACTCAATCTATATGTTTTGTATGCCCCATATGTTCATATTCTGTTCCTGCTCAGGCAAAATAATCCACTGAAAGCCATGTTTGAATTTCAGAATGGCCCTGTAACATTTAAATGATAGAGACTAGTTTTTTTAAAGGATTATCACCTTGTGACTGATTATAGCTTTTCAGAACAATGATTCAAAATCTTGTTTCTAAACAGTCTAAGCACTATTTGAGAGCCGAATTTCCAAAAATTAACATCCAAAATTATGGATGGTTTAATATTCTTATTTCTGAGCCAGGCTGAACTGTTTGGGGATTAAATTTGGGTTTCAGACAGTGCAAATTTCAACATTTAAGAAATCTTTATGTTGTTCACAGAACCACTAGATCAGCTCTATTTTTCTAATTTTACCAAGAACAGCTGGCTTGAGAAGCAATTCCTAAATTTAGACTACAAGTAGATTGCTGGAGAAATAATTAGGTATTGTTACATGGTTAAAAAAAAGGCTGTCAAAGACTCATCCTACTCTTAGTAGGGGTGTGGATAATTGCATACTCATTTCAAAATAACTGAGTTGGATCAGTCACAGTAATATACAGTATACTGGAACAAAAGAGATCTGTTTCAAATAAGAGTAATAGCAAAAAACTCAAGACTTCAGCATTTCAGACAATTCTTCAGCCTTGGATGACTGGATTCAGTGTTCAACATACCTTTCTCTCAGAAGCCAAATTTCCATTTCCCTTTATACATATCACCAGTTCTGGTCAGTATAGGATTATCATTTTTTTTCCTGGGACTTCCCAGAATTAAACAAGTTTTCCATGCTCTACATAGCATATATGTGCAATTCTGAGCACTTAGAATTACAAATTTACTATGCACATACAGTAAATCTGATGCAGAACAGAAGCAGCAGATTGTTAGAAGAATGCTATGAATCCTATCTGTGCATATACAGTGGGTGCATTTGAATTTCTGCCTGGTTGTAGCCCAGTCAGGTATCTAGAAATTCCAGCCAATGCACAAAATTCTTGGATTCCACCTGATCAAAGATTCCTAATAGAGAATGAGTCCAAGGAATGAGTGCAAGGAAACCCAGAATGTATGGTTATCCCTAGATCAGCAGGAGTATAAATGTATAGGTGTTACTTCTGCATAATGGATCAGACCAGTGAGCCTGTAAAGTCTGACATTCTGCTTCGATCTCTGACCGTTTCCATAAATTAAACATTGGAAAAGAAATTTGCTCTGACTGCTCTGATGTTAAGTTTAGATGCAGAAATCTGCGATGTGATTACGTGTTTCCTCCCCTATGCTTGCTAATACCTATTACCTAATCTGAGCAGTAATAGTCAACCTATCACTTGATTTTTAAAAAGAGTAGTTTTCCTTCTAACAACAGTTCCTAATAGGCAAAACCTCAGAGGCCCTTTTCATGTTTCATGCAAGACAGATCTCAGGTTCGGTCCACTGTAAAGTGTCAAAAACAATTTTGTTATACTGCTTAAAAATAGTTAGCACTGTTACTGCTCATGGCAGTGTGTTCCACAAGCCAACCGCATACTGTGTGGAACATGCTCGGCATCTAAAACTGGCTTTATCCTGAGAGTTAAATCGGCATGTTCTGCAAAACTGCTGTAAGATTTTCCCGTTTTAGAATCAGTGTAGATTTAGGAAAATGTGATCATCTTCTACTAGAATAGTATAAAGAGCATAAAATAAGAACAGGATTGCATTTACTCCAAGGAGAAGATAAGAAGCACATCCAGAAAGAGCGTCACTTCTGTGAACACGTCTGCTAAGACAGTCTTGCTTTTCACACACTGTAGAATCCTGTTGATGTGAAACAGGATGATATGAAAAACATGGATGTGAAATCAAAATTTTAGTACAAAGTCACTATTATTTGTCAAACATCATCGTGTTTTGATACAGGAGGTAGAACTTCTGTGACATACACTGTTGTCTTTTGAAATATACCCATCAAACGATGCTTAAAAAATACAAGCAGTCTGCCTTATTCTTCATGTAAGCACTTAGCTTCAAATTCCTAGTCCCTGCTGTTACCCATAGATTATTTCCTATAGCATTAGTGTTCATATTAAAAAGCACCTGGATTATTTCTATCAGAGACACATTTCTGGGGCTATCCTCCAAATCACATAAGGCACTCCTTTTGGATTGGGACCATCAGATGATGGGGAAATAGCAAGCCTCCCAAGGAAAGGAATGAATCTAAAGAGCTGCTACACAAAAAATTTCTCTCTCACAGTTACTGAACGGCAGGTATGGCCTCAGTCTGTCCCCACTATAGTAACTATACAACTCTGAATGAGCATCTCTGCAAGTGGGAGCTGAATGAGTTTAGACCTGTTATTTCCTGGGAAACAAAACCTGACCAAATTCTCACTAACCTGAACACAGGAAGAATAATCATACCCTTCTGGCTGCGTAAAGGGGAGGAAAGGAAGGACTCAGGAGTGAGTACAGAAAATTCAAGTATTGTTTTGCAGAAACAACAGAAGTGACTACAGTAAATCTACTTGTAACACAGAACTGATCAAGGTTAAACATTTTTTTTCCCCTGGATTGTTTTCCAGCCTGGTCATTTCCTTGGTCCATTTACTTCTTAACTTCATAAATAGTTGTACTGACACAGCTTGAGAGAAGGCATGCAGGTGGTAACATGGCCGGGGGTATGGCTGGAGGACACTGTCAGAGTGCCCAGGATTTGCTTAAGCCAACCTACCTCACTGCAAGTGTGTATGCTCCTAGACACTGCTTCTTCATCCTTTCCCCAGCTCTGGAGCTGGGAGTGACATTTCACAGACCAAATCACTTGCTGCCAACCAAACGGGGTGATGCCTTTCTTCTTCCTCCTCTGCTCCACTCTTTTCACTACCCTGAAGACAGTTTAGCTCACTAATCCAGCAGAAAAATATGTAGCAAAAAAGAATGACAGATTTGCGTTAGATCAGGGCAGGCATCATGTGAAATCTCACCCTGAGTGTCTAGTTCTGATACGCTTGCAATTTCTGTCACTTAAGGCAGGTATTATTTTAAAAACTCAGAAAGGAAGTAGAATTTCTCCCCTGGCATTCCCACTTCCACGTAGTCTCCGAGGGATTTATACAGGCCCCTCATCTTTGTCCATCTAGTTTAATGTGTGAGTTTTAAATGCATGCGATTGATGAGATGCAACAGTGCCAGGGAACAAGCTCTGCTCTACCCAGTGCCAGCTCATTGTCATTATGCCTTTTCATTGGGATGCCACTGGCACAATCTTCTTTTCTCTTTCACTCGGGAGGAGGCGAGTAGCTAGCTCCCAAATTGCCTTCATCGGAAGAAGCAGCCTTCCTCTCCCTTGCTCCAGTGCTGTAAGAATTCTGCATTTTTGTCATGCACAAAAAGTGGTGTCAGCAGCAAAGGAAACTGGTCTGGTGGGTTCGCAAGTGATAGAAAAAGTCTGAAAAAAAAAAAAAAAAAGAGTAGAAGTGAGTGAGAAGCCTGCTGTATGTTTCAGTCAGGTTAAGTTAGGTCAGGAATTCTGCAGGTGACCTGGACAAATGTGTGAGTGAGTTTATCCCTCTATGAGATGGCATTGCAATGCTAAATTCAAATTTCTGCACAGCACTCTGAGATCTGAGAGCCATTCAAGGGGTGCAAAGTGCAAGCATTCTACTATTAGCCTGATTTAAAAGCCAGTGCTGCAAAGCGCTGGTAAGCAATTTCAGATGCATCTGATTCTAAAGCTGCTATAGCAGCTGTTGAAAAGCAGAAAGAAGGAGTACGCAGCTAAATTTTATCAGCTGAGGTGGGGGTAAGTGCTACCACTGAAAGAACATGGTGTTAGAACAAGAACGCTAGTAAGTTCGTCAACCAGTAAAGGCCAATGGGGGGCACGGAATTTTTTTGTCCAAGTCTAGGAAGTGATTTTGCCCGTTTTTTTGAACCATTTTATATGATGCAGGGGGCTTTTGCACTTGCAGAAAACCAGAAGTTTGAGGGCTGTGAAAATATTTCCTTTTCTTAAGAGACAAACCCGCACTGAGGTGAGGGAAAGTCGTTTAATCAAGATCTGGGGAGTTGCTCTGTGATGATCTCAGCAGAGCCCAAGGCCGTTCCATTTTAGTAAGCAGGCATGTTGGGTCAGATGTCTTACCTGTTTCTAAAATGTTACCTGCCCTTGTGTAACCTCTAATTATATGCTTCAGTGAGAGTCTTCGTAAACTATTGCAGCTGGGTCTGCTTATGCATTGTAAGTTTTTCAGTGATTCAGGAACTCTGATGCACATGCCTTTTTCTTTTGTATTCATCAGCCTTTTGTCTTTCTGAACTTTTCCTCTTGCTAGATGCCTCTACCTGAATTCAAGCAGGATGACTCCTAAAAAAAAAAAAACCTGTTTCAATCTATGGGGTTCTTCAGCCAGAAGAAAACACTAATATTAGGAAGCATTTAAGAAGCTAAGCTATAAAAGAAATTAGAAGTATGCAAGTGATTACAGCAGAATAAAACCATGCTCCTCCACCATAATAGTAAGAATGGCCTTAAAAATGGCCATCCCCTTTCCTGACTATTTCCCTAGATGCTAGACATCATTCGGCTCACGTATTTCCACTTCACTTTGCAACATTGTCACCTAGTCACGCAACAATGCAATGCAAGAGCACTGAGTTTTGATGCAAGATTTCTACAGCCTAGTTCAAAAGGGCAAAAGTTTGCAGGGCTTCCCCACCTGACAGTTTCCCATTCATGGCCACAAGAATCTTTGAAAACGAATACTCTCATTATTCCAATTATAAACAAATGGTTCTACTTAGGGAACAATGGGTCTGACGTGAGGATACTTCGTGCATTCCCAGGTACGTGTGCCATACTCATGAGTCTTTACGTGCTCATCACTTTTTGTGCTCTTCCTTTAATGCTTTCCCTAGTAATAGCATTGAAACAGAGGTAAAGCATGCCACACCTGCTCTGCTAGAAGGTAGCACCCCACGGATGTTGACACAATGATAGTAATTAGAAGGGTTGGGATAAGATTTTGCAGGCCAGCCAAATTCTTGTGCATCCCTTCTAGTAACTCCAGTGAAAGGGAAACAAGTTCAAAGTGTTCACTTCACTCTCCAGAAAAAAAAAAAAACGCTGTAGACTATTAACTGAGCAGACTATTAATTAAGGATTAATAAGGGAGATATTTAAATTCGAACATATATTTGCTTATATACTTGTGAGTGTGTGTGTTTACATACACACGTACACAAATACGTACATGCACACGCGCGCACACACACACACACAATTTGCCCTTTCACAAAACAAACAAAAGACTGCGTCAAAAAGTCTGTGACCAAGCAAAGACAGTGGCTGGCAAACACACAAAAGGGAAAATGAGAAGCATTTGTTTCCCCAGTCTCCTGTCCTGCAGGCACCTGTAGAGGGTACAGAATTAATCTACAGTGTTTGAAAAATTCAAAATGAAGGCCCAGAAAAAGGGTGTTGACCGCAGGGAAAAAGAAAAAATGATTTCTAGAAAAAAATATTTTGGACAGGAAAGAAGGAGTGATAATAATGAGAAACAGAGAGAGCTCAATACCTAAGGAGAGGCAGAAACTAAAATAGGACTAATATTATAAATTACATATAAATACAGTGTGTCTTGAAAGCAAAAGGCTATCTTTAAAGGAGGGAGAAAACAGAGTTCTTGTAACACTATTCCCAATGCTAAGATGCTAAACACCTTCTCCTGTGTGCTACATACCCCAGAGTTTTTAAATACAGATGATAAACAAAGCAACTCTATAGTTAAATTATGGCAAACAAGATATACCAACAAAATTTAACCAATTATGCTCTATGTCTGACCCTTCAGAAAAGGAGAGTCCTAATTCATGCATGCACAAATCCCCCGAAACAACAACAAAAAATTCCACAGATTTGGGAGCTCAGTTTGAATCTGACCTTTCCAAATGTTCTGTGAAAAAGGAAAAACAGAACGAAACAAAGAGGCCATTCCCAAAATACCCAACAGCCCAGCAGCTCAGGGACACAATCAGTAAGTGGGAGACAGCTTTAAATTCCCAGTCTGGACTACAGATCCTGATTTACCAGTTGGCCATACTCTCACCTTTGGGTTAGGGCTTTTATAAGATCACTCACTTTCTTTCTCTCTCCCTCCTACTCTAAATTCCAAAGAAAATTTTGTCAGATTTTAAAATTTTCAATGAAATACTTGGCTTTGACAAATGAACATGTGTCAACAGCAACATAAACTTTAACCAGAGAATTCCTAACAAGCTCTTTCTCTTATGGTAAAAAGAACCACCATGATAAAAAAGAGGGAGCTTTTAAGAGATTAAAAAAATAGTTAATATTTCAACTTTTATTAGTCTAGTTAATTACACATTTTCCCTTTGAAAATCTCACCTTTGGGGCATACTGGGGCGTACCTTTCTTCTACTTCCTTACTGATTTTCTCACTTGTCTAGACATTTCTATGTCTCCAGTTGTCTTGCATTGCCCTTTTCAACTTTCATTAATATTCTCACTTCTCCTTGTCTTCTTTACCTTCTCACTATCCTCACCATTTTTTTTCTTCTCACAGTGCATGTTCCTTGCTTCTTTATTGCATTTTCTTCCTTCCTCCATCTCTGCATTTTTCTCTTGTTTGTTTCCTCCATTAATTCCAGTTGGAAGAAAGATTACTTATCCCACATTAACTCTTAAGAAGGTGCAGTAGTTTTATTGTGGAGTAAGTGGCTTCTTATTGCTTATATTTTCAAGAAAGCAGCAGCAGAAATGGAAACACAAATAACTTAACATCCACCTAATGTACACAGTCAGTCCATGTCTTTGATTGCTAGATTAAATATTTGTTTTCTCTCTTGCTTCATGTATCTTTTTAGATGGATGGCATCCATTTTCTAATTAGAAAATGCTACTTTAGGTTGTTATATTTTAAGGTCAACCCATAGATTAGAATACATTAGAAATGTTTCATTTACCTTTCATGGCAGCTTTGTTTCACTTTTAACTAAAATATTGAAGTGGAAATCAAACTGGATTATCACATGGATGCTATACAGGACAATCCACATTTTCAAATTTGGGCAGCAAACTTTGGTAGCCAAATCCGCACTGAGATACCTGGTGCCTGTTTTGAAGGTGTCTTAAGGTCCTATATCTTCAGCTAATACAAAGCCCCAGACAGAGAGAGATACAGAGCACCTCTCAGAGTTGGGCTTCAGGTCGTGCAGGACGTAACTGCACAGCTGCTCCAGGTACGTGAGCTGGCTGGGCTGACTTTCCACATGGAAGCACTGAGGACAGCAATACATAAACATCCAAAGTACCACAACGAATGAGCTGACCGGCTCCTTTAGCTTCCCAATAGATTTGAGATTTCTGAACCACCCTTTGAAGCAAGGTCTCTACAAGCTTTTCTGATATTTGAAAATCTGGGCTTGCCATTTGCTTGAGAAGGAAATGTCTAATTTGTTCTGATTTGTTGCCTGACCAAAAAAGAGGAATCAGCCCTTTTCTTTGCACTAGGCTAATGGCATGGTGCTCAGGGTAATGAGCTACACTTTAACCGAGCAATTTTTGGAGAAGCTGAGTAGTATCTGGCTCTCAATATAGTAGGCTTTGGTAAGCAAAATATGAGACGTTTCTTGTCCTGGAGTCAAAATTGATATTAAAAATGCAAAAAGACAGAGGGAAAACATTAGCTCAGTTACTGCTTACCATCACGTAATATAGGGCTTTCTAAACCTAGCAAAAGGTGCATTATGTTTCCAAATACTTTAGATCACACTGCTACTTCAGAAATGAAACCAATCCCAGTATATTGACCTTTTGTGTGTTACTGGGAGCTCTGCAGCACCAGAGCTCCATAGAAGGTACACATCATCCCCTCACAATGAAGATGGCCTTCATTAACGTACCTCTGACTTGCTACTCTCCCCTTGCCCCTTGTTTTTGCTTTGCTATTGAAAGAAACACTTTCTTGCGGTGCAGTAAGTGAAGAGTTCAGAACTAAACTGTTAAATTACGTACTAATTGGATTCTGATCTCTAGCATAATTACAGTTAGAAACAAAGCATAACAGATGAAGCATGCTATGGAAAAGATAGTCAGTAGTCAACTAGTTAGCAGTCAGTAGTCTTGGAAAGCGACAGGACTTTCTGACTTTCTCTCAAGCAGCCAATGTGTATTCTTGGCACTACCTGCTGTATAAAGCGGTTGTCTCTAGAAATGCTTTCCAGCTTCACAGCTGCTGCTAAATTCTACCTCATTGTTCCATTTCCTCTTCCTACAGCTGTAACAGTTTACATATATAAACTTGTTTATTAGAGTTGTAGCTTACTTTGCCTTCATATTGGGAAGATTTAGGGCAGAAAACATTTATTTGCAGTGTCCATATGTGCAATAATTATGATGGATCTAGTTATTTATAGAAGGATAAACATTACTGCTCAATCAAAACCATGGAACAAAAGAAATTTGCACAATAATATCCAAACCACTTTTTTTTTTCTTTCCAGAATTTTCTTCCCAACAAATCACAGATCATAAGTGTTATTTAGAAGGTCTTCATTTAAATAAGGGCACCAAAACTAAACTTCTTATTCAAATGGACAAAGAGAATTTCTTATGTGATTTAGGCTTGACACTTTAAAACAAGAACATTTCAAAGTTCAGATGATACACTCCACTAGCTTCATTTATAACTTGCAATTTTTGCCCTGTTTTGTAATTAATAATTATGCTGCAGAATGCAGATTCTTTTCATGAATTTGATCTTCCGCTGCAAGACAAACACAAAATCAGCAAAGCTTATCTATCAGTTTCTATGATGATGACAGATTACAAATAATGATAGATTTTCGATGATGTGTCAGCAAGCATATGAAGCTATGTGGTTATAATATAGCAACTGTGAGAAGCTGCTCTCTGACTGTCATTCAGAGCACTCATATCGTAGCTTTACTTTTGTCATTGACAACCAATTCTGAAGATGTTCATTTTATAAGGATATTCTTCTGTTCTCTATATGGATTCAGATTAGAATTCAGAGAACTGCTTTGTTTGCTTTAGTTTATAACACATTTTAAGAAAGTGAGCACATTTTTTTCCCCTAAAATTAGAATAATTAACAAAAAGTATTAATTTCTAAGGCAATTTGGTTAGGATTATGAAGAGAGCAAAGACTGAACCACTGTAGCAAGAAAAGGGTGGAAATTTGTTTTTGTTAATGGGCTAATTTATCGATATAAAACATTGAAATGCCGAGGTTCTACTATACTACTTGGTTCTACTACAAACAAAAACAATGAAGTTTTTATTTTTATAAATACAACAGGAAAGTGGCTAGAGGCATATTGCAG